TTTGCATCACAGCTGAGAAGCAGAGTTTAGGGATTGTGAGTATTTTATAATACATGAGAAGCAAACCTGCCTAACCTTTTCTCCAGAGGGATATTTTATTTTTATTTCACTGGACAGCAAGCACGCTTGCCCTTTGCTCTGTAGGGGGTATACTATCTTCCAGGCTGCTCTCTCTATAAACATTCTTGAAAGGGCAGTCTGGGACAAAAGCAGCCAATACCTCTGTCAATAGAAACAGGAAAGACATTTGGGGAATTGTCACCCAACGTGGTAGGTCAGAACTCAGTTGGAGATACTGGTGGAAGTTCAGGAACTGGCCACTGTCACCCCAGAGCTCTTGTTCTCGGTGGGAAAGGATGAACATTACAAAGCTGAAGACTACTTGTGTCAACAGAAGAGAAACTTACGGCCTTTCTGTCTCTGGTATTGACTAAAAATAAACTAAAGTGGACCCAAATACAAAACACAGGCAGGTACGAGGAGTCAGGCCCCGCTAGCATGCCTCCCCACTGGGCACTTCTGTAGAAAGTCTTGGGCCCCCGGCTGGTGGGGCTAGCAAGCTGCACAATCCATCACTGCCAGGCAGCTCTTGGCAGCGGCCAGCACTGCGGGGCCTCTGGAGCCGTATCTCCAGGCAGGGACCAGTAATTAGGTGTTTAGATTCAAATCAACATTTAAAAAGCCTTGGGGAAGTTTTCGGTAAGCTAGGAGACCAAGTAAGCTACCATCAATTAAATCACATGAACTGAAACTGCACATAGGGAAGTTTGTAAATTCTCCTGCAGATAGAACTATTTTGACAAGAAAATTTAGTTTGCTTTTCTGACTATGTCCTCTGCTCATAGAAGAATATTACATATTCACTAATTCATTTACTTTAATTAAATGAAGCTGATTAGAAAAAAAAAATTGTTGAGCATTTGCTGGGTTGGTCTTGATTGAGGGATGAGGATACACAGATTGGTAAGTGGCCCTCCACTTCTTCCGGAAGCTCACAGACCCCCCAGCAATGAACCTCACGAAGCAGCAATCATGGAGGCTGGCAGATATTACCAGAGTCCTGGGTGGGAGTCGGCACCTGGCTCACAGACACAGGGGCACAGACCACAGCACTCAGTGTGGGAAGGAAGAATCTCTTCATCCTTGCTCATCGTCCGTTACTGTCTCCCCCTTCTTGACTTTTAATTGTGCTGTGTTCTGCAAATATACAGTTGAGCAGCAGAAACTTTTAGGATGCAGTCATCAGAAATGTGAAAATCCAGAATACTCGGCAGAGTGCTGAACAAAGGTTGGAAAAGATGTTCAGATAAACCTACTGTAATATATGACTGGTGAAGAAATTAAGACATCAGATGCATAAATATCATGTAAAAGTAAATTCTTGCAACACATGACAAAGAAAAGCTGAACTTCACACCCATCGGTATGGCTGTCAGCAAAAAATATATAAATAAATAACAAGTATTGGTGAGGATGCGGAGAAATTGGAACTCTTGTGCCCTGCTGGTGGGAATGTAGAATGTGGCAACTGCTGTGGAAAACAGTATGGAAGTTCCTCAAAAAACTAGAAACAGAATTACCACATAATCCCTCAATTCCACTTCTGGGTATATACCCAAAATAATTAAAAGCAAGCAAGGACTTGAACAGATATTTGCACATACATGTTCAGAGCAGCAGTACTTAAAAAGCCAAAGGTAGAAGCAACCCAAGTGTTCATCAACAAAGGACAGATAAGTAAAATGTGGTATAAACACACAATGGAATATTATTTACCTTTAAAAAAGAATGAAATTCTGACACATGCTGCAACATGCATGAAACTTGAAGACATTATGCTAAGTTAAGTCAGCCATTTATGAAAGGACGCATACTGCATGATTCCGCTTATATGAGGTACCTAATCAAATTCACAGATGCAGGAAGGAGAATGGTGGTTGCCAAGGTCTGGGGGTAGGGAGAGAGTGAAAGTTATTTTTTAACAGAGACAGAGTTTCTGCTGGGATGGTGAAAGTTCTGGAAATGAATGGTGGTGATGGTTACACAACAGTGTGAATGTAGTTAACACGACCAAACTGCACACCTAAAAACAGTTAAATAGTAAATATTATGGGTATTATACCACAATAAAAAAAGGAAAGGTAGAATATGCAATGAGTCATGAGTTGAAAAATGGATGGCATTTTTCACTTTTTAGCCAGATGTCTTGGTGTTCCATAGACACAGCCAAAATGAAATGATGAAGGATTGGGGAATTGAAGCCAGGACTCTGGAGTCTCAAGTGACGGCCATAATTACTGCATTTCATTTCCTGTATGTAAGGCAAACTGAGTTCAGGACCAAAAGCAATATTCCAATGGGCTGTGATTAATTGCTCCTCCCGTGTTTAAATGGACCTCCTCATGGCTTTTGCTATTGTTCTGCACAAGTAATTAGGGAAGTTTTCACTGCAGAGGTCATTCTTGTGCATGTCCAAAACAAAGGCCAATTTCTGCTTAGCATTTATGAGACTTCAGATGTGGAGTACTCTAATCCACAGTTACATAATGAACATGTGGGTTTAACTGGGAAAGGAAGAGTCAGCCCTGCGGCTTGCTCCAGGCATTGCACAACCTCTCATTCACCCGCACCAGCTTGCTTCATGTTCTCAGTGCTTCTATGGAGAATGTATTATCGCCTCTATAGATCGCCTTTACAGATCAATCTCAGAGGTTAAGCAATTTTTCCCCCAGTCACACAAACAGTAAAGAAAAGAGTGAAAATTCCCGCTTTCCTCTGATTCAAATCCTTTTATGCTTTTCTGAACTCTGCATTGTAACAGCAATAGGAACCTTGGCTTTCCCTGAATCTGTTATTCATCCGTCTATTTGTTCACTTATCCAACAAACGCTTGTTCTTCACTTCCTTATTCCAAGCATAGTGATAGAGCGGCATGTAGGAGGGGCATGATCCAGCCACTTACAGATAATGTAAGGATGAGAAGAAGTCAACAGACAGAAAATAAAATGCAGGCATTTCTATCACAGAAAAAGAAACAAAAATTTTCCCATAGTACACTTGGAACATAAGTTAGAAATGAGAGTGAGGCAGTCACAGAGCTGAGGGGTTTAGGGATTTTATTCTGAGATAGGCAATGAATGGGGAGCCACTAACACCCTTAAACAAGAAAATGATGGGAAAATTTGCAATTTGGAAAGATCAACCTGATAGCTCCATGGGAGGTGCAGGTGACAGCAGGCAAATATGGAGGCAAGGAGACCATATTCCTTTCCCGGGGCTTCCCTAACAAATGACCACAAATGGGGTGGCTGCAAAACACAGAAATTCATTTTCTTACAGTAGCAGAGGCCAGAGTTCCAAAATCAAACTGTTGCAGGTCCATGTTCCTCAGAAAGCTCTAGGAAAAAATCTATCCCAAGCCTTTATCTTAGCTTCTGATGTTGCTGATAATCCTTGGCACTCTCTGGCATTCCCTGGCAGTCTCTGGCAATCCCTGGCAGTCCCTGGCAGTCCCCGGCTTACAGACGCGTTGCTCAGTCCTGCCCCGTCATCGTGTGGCGTTCTCCTGGCGTCTGGGCCTGGGTCTGTGTCTCTTCCCTTCTGCATGTAACGACGCCAGTCATGTTGATTTCAGTCATATCAAATTTCATATTGAATGTCTGTTCCAACATGAGTTCATCCTAACTTGATCACATTGCAAAGACCCTATTCCAATAAGGTCACACGCACAGGTACCAGGGGTTAGGACGTGAACAGATCTTTTTGGGAGACACAATTCAGCTCACAACAGAGACCAATTAGAGGACATTTGCAATTGGCCAGCTGAGAAAATGAGGCACTGACCAGCAGCACAGCCATGGCGAAAAGGAGGTGATGAGGAAGAAGAAACAGCCAAGCCCAGCAACAGGAGATGAGGTGTGTGTGGTGGAGCTCCAGTGCCCCGCTTAGGGCTGCGGGCATTAAGGAGAGGATTTGTGTGGGAAAGAGAGGATGAGGGGTGGCAGGATGTGACAGCTTTGTCAAGTCTGCCTTTCAAACTTGGAGAAAAATTGTGGATAGGGATGATGTTGATTCTCCACTGTTTTAAATGACAGAACTCTATTGTCTACAAGAGAAAAGGGCAACTTTGGATTTTGATGCTCAAAATCGTTCAAGTCTTGTTCACAACTCTGTTTCCAGCCTCATCACTCCCACTTCTCCTTTCCGTGCAATGTGCGCGCGCGTGCACACACACACACACTCGTGAACACGGCAAGCATTCACTCTATTCGTTTGTTTCTGCACTGCACGTCTCAGGGACCACGTGATGCCTGAGGATGAGAAATGTTTTATCCCTGTCTGGGCCCACCTGGTGCAGAGAACACAGCGAACGAAGATGGATAGTGAGACAAAGCATGGTGCTGCCCCTGCCCAAGGTGTGCCCTTTCCTGTTGCCCTCCTATTTGCCTCCGTTCCTCTGCCTATGTGGCACCCTTGAGGAAAGAGAATGAATTCCTCCTATCCCTCAACTTACACAGTGTGTTGAGGAGATGGCATGCTACCTTTAACCATCCATGTCTGCTCCACCATTCTGGAGTAACCACAGAAGGCAAGGTCAATGTTTGATTCATCTTCACACCTCCAAGGCCTCATACAACCTATCGCAGAGTAGTGCTCAGAAAATCCTTTGCATAAAAAAGCAAACTCGGCCAGGAGCGGTAGCTCATGCTTGTAATCCCAGCACTTTGAGAGGCTAAGGCAGGGGGATCACTTGTGGTAAGGGGTTCAAGACCAGCCTGGTCAACATGGTGAAACTCAATCTCTACTAATAATAAGAAATTAGCCAGGCGTGGTGGCACTTGCCTGTAATCTCAGCTACTTGGGAGGCTGAGGCAGAAGAATGGTTGGAACTTGGGAGGCAGAGATAGCAGTGAGCCAAGATTGTGCCACTGCACTCCAGACTGGGTGACAGATTTTCATCTAAAAAAAAAAAAAAAAAAAAAAAGCAAACTGTTCTGGTTCTTTAAGGGAAGTCACTGGAGTCTACTGCAGGGATCACATGCACAGGCTGTGATGTCAGACAGGCCTGCATCTGAATCCTGGCTCTGATACTCGGTAGCTCTCTTAACTCAGGGGAGTTTTAGACTCCCTAGGCCTCCTATCCTTGCTTGAAAATGGGGATCACAGCAGTAGGGGTTCTGTGATGCTTCAATGAGCTCATGCTAGGAAAGCATCCAGCACATTGCCCGACACACAGGCTCAGAACAAACTTAATTACCATGGTTGGTCCTCAGCAGCCAACAGCCTTCCTGATAGCCTGCTCCTCTTCTGAGAACAGACCAAGAGGATCTGTGAGTCCCTGTAGCCTCAGCTCCTCCCATCATTCTCTTGACCCCAGGTCATCATAAAATTATGACGTAATTGAGGGAAACATGCATGGTTCACCCTTGTTCTTTATGGCTTGGATATTGAGCAATCACAAGACATTGGAATGTTATCTAGAACCACTATTTCTAGAGAAAACCTCCAGGATGGACATGGAACCAAAAATGCTCCTAGAGAGTGTGTTAAGAGTTGAACAATGTGCTTTTCAGTTTGCAGATGAGGGGGAGCTTGACTGTGGAAGGAGCCAGAGCTTTGCTCTCATATTCCAGTCCTGGCTCCAAATCTTGCAGGCTGTGAGACTGGGGCCAGCTACTTAATGTCTCTGAACACCATTGTCTCATGAGGCTGTTGTGAGAGTTGGAAATAATAAATAAAACCAAACAACCCAGTGGGTGACACACAGTAACTGTTCAAAAACAGTACCTCCATGCTCTTCTGTCATTACTAGGGTGGTTGCAGGAATAGAGAGAGACATCAGAGGTGTTCAGTGACCAATCAACCCCCTATAAAACCTTAGCCTCCCTCTAAGCAGACCCCAAGGGCGAGCCCGATAGCTTCGGAGAGATCTCTGTGACTTGCCTCTGTTTGGAAAGCAGTGTCCCCTTAGAGATCAGAGGCGACTCTCCTGGATCCCCACAGATCAGAATCCCACTCCTTGGTCCTGCTGGTTCGTCAGGCATCCCAGGCTCTGTCCAGGCACAGCCAGCTGAGGCTGTGAACTCCAGAGTCATCTTGGATTGGTGACTGGGGAGAGAGCATGAGACTGGGACCAAGCTCAAAAAGGACTTGGGAGGACAATTAGTGGGTGGGTGGGGTGAAGAGGTTTGGGGAAAAGGAGAGTTTGGAGAAGGAGAAAGCAAGTCAGCCCAGCCAACGGAATGATGACCACAGCCTTTGTTTAGGCATCTTTGGAAGTGTTTGCAGATCTACAGGGTACAATAAACTGCCTAGTGGAAACATAGTCTCAGAGCACTGAGAAGTTTTATTTTTAATTCTTACTTAAATGAGAACTGTTATCTATCTCGGGAGATCTTTTCACCTTGAGGTCATGAATTGGAGCCTGGGGACCTGGCCTCCACTCCTGCTCTGGCATTTTGTAGTTGAATGACCTCAGTGACACCCTTCGCCTCACTGGGCCCAGCTCTGTTCCTGTGAAAAGAAAGGATTGGAGAACTTGGTCTCTTAGGTTCCTGCTAACTGACATTTTGTAACACTTAGTTTCAGATTCCCAACCTCCCTTTCCTCTCCATTCTAATTTTTTTAAGAATTGCAGGAACTAGAACTTAGAAAGAAAAAAAAACCGTACGCGAACTTTCTACATAATTTCCTAGGCACTTAGATCTGCATCCCAGGAAGCATATTAAAAATACTTATCCCCAGGACTCTCCTTTGGGATGGGACTCAGGAACATCTGTAAATTTAACAAGCTCCATAGGTGATTTTTTTTATGATCACACAATAATTAGCCTAAGCTGTCTTAAAGCAGCTGCTGAAAATTGAACCTGATTCAATCTTTAAAAGGCACATCTTTAAACTGTGGTAAAGGCCAAGGTCTCTGCTAGGGAACTGAAGCCAAGAATCTGAGAAAAGTGCAATGATGAACGCCAGCCTTCACCAGCTGGGCCTGGGATGTCTGTGAACCACTGAGGCCAAGATGAGAGCAGGGCCACGGGGACGGCGGGGTTGTGGGCTGTCATGTGACTATGTTCTTGGACCACCTCTCCTTTCATGCTGAACTGAAATGCTTGTCCACACTGTAGAGCACATGATCTTTGTTTCAGGATATGGGGCATGGGTGTCGGGTTGCTTTGCAGGAGCAGGAGAGAATGTGCAGCCACCTCCATCCAGCAGTCCTCTGTGGGAGGCAGTTGGCTGGGACCCGGGTATTCACTGTGGCCATGGGCTGGAGCATCAGCAGCAGCCCACAGACCCACAACCATGGCCATCTAAAAAATAGAGCTCTGCAGTGGCTGATTTCCAGGAGGTCACAGTGTAGCTAGATGGCAGAAGCCCAGAACTTGGTGGCCTCCGTTTCAGGACGCTAGTGGCCTCTATGACTCACCAGAGGCAGAAAGCACAGCTTCTGCCATCTGGCTCTGACTGCAGGAGATAGCGGGGTAGAATTGGTTGTCCCTCTCAGCAGGTTTGGTGGATCTGCTTTGCCTCCTCACCTCTGACATCTGGGGTCACCCACCTCATCCTCCACCAGGACCCGGCCTTTCCCTGACATCTTCCCTCTGCTGGTTCGATGTAGTTTTGGGTGCCCTCAACAAGAGGCAATGCACAGACATTTCCTGTTGAAAACACAGTTTTGCTTGCTTGTGTTTAGTAGTAGGGAAAATGTCCACTGAAAGCAAAGGTAATGGAAAATAATTAGCATTTTAAAGAGCAGTAGCACTAAGTGATGTTGAAATCAGCCTCTAACAGTTCCTAAACCCATGTTTTTGAAGAACTTCTATGGGCCAGTCATTCTTTCTCTCCTCCTCTCCCCATCTCCCCCAGCTAGGGCTTTGCACGCACTGACCTCCCGCCTTCATTTTATTCCCGCTCCCTTCCCTTCACTTGCATAATCTCGATTGACTTTCTCAAAAATAAACGTTGAATTTTAGAATAGGTTTGGATTCATAGAAAATTGTGAAGATAGTAATACAAGAGGTCCACACATACCCGACACTTAGTTTCTCCTAGTGTTCAGATGTTACATGGGTAGAGGTCATCTGTCACAACCAAGAAGCCACTACTGATTATTATTAGCTAAAATCCATACTTTATGGATACTTCCTCAGTTCTTACCATGTATCTTTTTTCTGTACCGGGATCCCATCCTGGACACCACATAACATTTAGTGGTTGTGTGTCCTTTAGCTCCTCTATGGCTGTGACAAGTTCTCAGACTTTGTCAGGATGACTTTGTTTAAATGACTTTGACAGTTTGGGGAGGTTTGGGGACGACTTGTCAGCTATTTTGCAGACAGTCCATCAGGTGGACTTTGCCTGGTATTTTCCCCATGATTAGACTGGAGTTGCAGGGTTTGAGAAAAAAGCCACTGAGGTAAAGGCACATGCCACCGACATAACTTAGCTTTGTCTGCCTCACCTGGCTGAGGGAGTCTGTCTGATTTCTCTACTGTAAAGTTACTCTTTTTCCCATTTCCCATTCAGTACTCTTTGGAGGTAAGTCACCGTATGCAGCCCACATTTAAGGGAGGGGGAGTTATAGTCTACCTCCTTGAGATAGGGATATATACGTAAATTATTTTAAATTCTTCTATATGAGAGGTTTGTCTGCTCTCCCTTATTTTTAGTTATATATTCAATCATATGTTGATACCAATTAATCTCATGCATATTTATTGTATACCTTAGGTCATAATCTAGTACTACCTTATTAATTTTGTTACTCAAATTATTCCACCTGTGGCCACTAGGAGCTCTTTCAGTTGGCTCCTGTATCCCTTTGACACACCACATTGTTGAGTGTTTGTGCACTTGTGTGTGTGTTATGTACTTACATTCTGGCACTATGAGACACGCCAGGCTCTTCTCCTTATGCCCTGCTCAGCGCTAGAATCCACAGTATCTGCCAGGAGCTCTCGTTCCTTTCTTTATAGACTGGTATTAGAAGTCAGGATCTGGGTGATGTGTGTGTTCCATACTTCCGGGATTCCATTGCTTCCAAGCCCTGCTAACCGACAGAGTAAGGAAAGATATTTGAGTGTCCTAACCCGTATCTATACAAATATCTATAAATATTCCCCTAGGGATTCATTGCTATCTATATTAAACTAAGTAGGAGTTAATACTAAAATATCCAACTTTAATCCAGGACAACATGATCACTCTAACATTCCTCAACCTCCTCCTCCAACAGTGAGAAAACTGGCTTCCATCATCCTGCATCCATCAATTATTTGATTCCATTATCCCTGTGTTGTGGTTTCAAAATCGTTAGCCAATGCCCCTGTAGAAAGCAGCCTTACCCTGGTTCAACATATACAAATCAAAAAATGTAATTCATCACATAAAGATAATTAAAGACAAAAACCACGATTATCTCAATAGATGCAGAAGAGGCCTTCAACAAAATTCAACATACCTTCATGTTAAAAACTCTCAATAAACTAGGTATTGAAGGAACATACCTCAAAATAATAAGATCCTTTATGACAAACCCACAGCCAATATCATACTGAATGGGCAAAAGCAAGAAGCATTCCCCCTTGAAAACTGGCACGAGACATGGATGCTCTCTTTCACCACTCCAAATCAACATAGTGTTGGCAGTTCCAGCCAGGGCAATCAGGCAAATGAAAGAAACAAAGGGTATTCAAATAAGAAGAGAGGAAGTCAAATTGTCTTTGTTTGCAGATGACATGATCCTGCATCTAGAAAACCTCATTGACTCAGCCTAAAAGCTTCTTAGACTGATAAGCAACTTCAGCAAAGTCTCAGGATACAAACCAATGGGCAAAAATGTCAAGCATTCCTATATGCCAACAACAGACAAGCAGAGAGCCAAATTATGTGAATGGGAATTCATAATTGCCAAAAAGAGAACAAAATACCTAGGAATATAGCTAACAAGGGAAGTGAAGAACCTCTTCAAGGAGAACTACAAACCACTGTTCAAGGAAATCAGAGAGCACACAAGCAGATGGAAAAACATTCCATGCTCATGGTTAGGAAGAATCAATATCATGAAAATGACCATACTGCCCAAAACAATTTATAGATCCTATGCCATTCCCATTAAACTACCATTGACATTCTTCACAGAATTTAAAAAAAAAATTTTTTAACATTCAAATGGAACCAAAAAAAAGCCAAGAAAATCCTAAGCAAAAAGAACAAAGCTGGAGGCATCACACTACCAGATTTCAAACTATACTACAAGGCTACCACAACTGAAAGAGCATGGTACTGGCACAAAAACAGGCACATAGACCAATGGAACAGAATAGAGAACTCAGAAATAAAACTGAACATCTACAACCATCTGATCCTTGACAAATCTGACAAAAAACAGCAATGGGGAAAGTATTGCCTATTTAATAAATGGTTCTGGGAAAATTGGCTAGCCATATGAAGAAAATTGAAACTGGATCCCTTCTTTACACCTTATACAAAAATCAACTCAAGATGGATAAAAGACCTAAATGTAAAACCCAAAACTATAAAAACCCTAGAAGAAAGTCTAGGCAATACCATTCAGGACATAGGCATGTGCAAAGATTTTATAATGAAATCCCCAAAGCAATTGGAACAAAAGCAAAAGTTGATAAATGGGATCTAATTGAACTAAAGAGCTTCTGCACAGCAAAAGAAACTATCATTAGAGTGAGTAGACAACCTACAGAATGGGAGAAAATTTTTGCAATCTCTCCGTCAGACAGAGGTCTAATATTCAGAATCTACAAGGAACTTAAGCAAATGTACAAGAAAACAAAAACAACCACATTAAAATGTGGGCAAAGGATATGAATAGACACATCTCAAAAAAAGACATTAATGTGGCCAAAAACATATGGAAAAAAGCTCAAAATTACTGGTCATTAGAGAAATGCAAATTAAAACCACAATGAGATACCATCTCATGCCAGTCAGAAAGGTGATTATTAAAAAGTCAAGAAAAAACAGATCACTTTGGGAGGCCGAGGCAGGCAGATCACAAGGTCAGGAGATCGAGACCATCCTGGCTAACATGGTGAAACCCTGTCTCTACTAAAAATACAAAAAATTAGCCGGGCATGGTGGTGGGCGCCTGTTTTCCCAGCTACTCAGGAGGCTGAGGAAGGAGAAAGGCGTGAACCCAGGAGGCGCAGCTTGCAGTGAGCCAAGATCACGCCACTGCACTTCAGCCTTGGGTGACAGAGTGAGACTCTGTCTCAAAAAAAAAAAAAAAAGGAAAAAGAAAGAAAAAAGAAACAACAGATAGATGCTGGCAAATTTGCAAAGAAATAGGAATGCTTTTACACTGTTGATGGGAATGTAAATTAGTTCAACCATTATGGAAAACAGTGTGGCAATTTCTCAAAACTTTAGAACCAGAAATATCATTTGACCCAGTAGTTTTCATTTCTTTGATATATACCAAAGAAATATAACTCACTCTATTACAAAGACACATGCACATGTATGCTCAAGACAACACCGTTCACAATAGCAAAGACATGGAATCGATCCAAATGCTCACAATGATAAACTGGATAAAGAAAATGTTGGGAGTCACTGGCAAGATGGCTGAATAGGAACAGCTCTGGTCTGCAGCTCCCAGTGAGGTTGACACAGAAGGCAGGTAATTTCTGCATCTCCAACTGAGGTATGCAGTTCATCTAATTGGGACTGGTTGCACAGTGGGTACAGCCTACGGAGGGTGAGCCAAAGCAGGATGGGGTGTCCCCTCACCCGGGAAGCACAAGGGGTTGGGGAATTTCCCTCCTCTAGCCAAGGGAAGCCGTGAGAGAATGTACCAGGAGGAATGGTGCACTCTGGCCCAGATACTGTGTTTTCCCACAGTCTTCGCAACCGGCAGACCAGGAAATTCCCTCTGGTACCGACGCCACCAGGGCCCTGGGTTTTGAGCACAAACCTGGGCAGCCGTTTGGGCAGACACTGAGCTAGCTGAAAGACTTCCTTCCTTCCTTCCTTCCTTCCTTCCTTCCTTCCTTCCTTCCTCTTTCTTTCTTTCTTTCTTTCTTTCTTTTCTTTTCTTTTCTTTTCTTTTCTTTTCTTTTCTTTTCTTTTCTTTTCTTTTCTTTTCTTTTCTTTTTTCATACCCCAGTGGCATCTGGAACACCAGTGAGACAGAACTGTTCACTACCCTGGAAAGGGGATTGAAGCCAGGGAGCCAAGTCGTCTGGCTCAGTGGGTCCCAACCCCGTGGAGCCCAGAAAGCTAAGATCCACTGGCTTAAAATTCTCACTGCCAGCACAGCAGTCTGACATTGATCTGGGACACTTGAACTTGGTAGGAGAAGGGGTGTCCGCTTTGCTGAGGCTCGAGTATGCAGTTTTACCCTCACAGTGTAAACAACACTGCTGGGAAGTTTGAGCTGGGTGGACCCCACCACAATTCAGCAAGGCCACTGCAGCCAGACTGCCTTTCTAAATTTGTCCTCTCTGGGCAGAGCATCTCTGAGAAAAAGGCAGCTGCCCCAATCAGGGACTTATAGATAAAACCCCCATCTCCCTGGGACAGAGCACCTGGGGGAAGGGGCGGCTATGGGCATACCTTCAGCAGACTTAAACGTCCCTGCCTGACAGCTCTGAAGAGAGCAGCAGATCTCCCGGCACAGCATTCGAGCTCTGATAAGGGACAGACTGCCTCCTCAAGTGGGTCCCTGACCCCTGTGTATCCTAACTGGGAGACACCTCCCAATAGTGGCTGATACACACCTCATACAGGAGAGCTCTTGCTGGCAGAGCTTCCAGAGGGAGGAACAGACAGCAATCTTTACTGTTCTACAGTACCTGCTGGTGATACCCAGGCAAACATGGTCTGGAGTGGACCTCCAGCAAACTCCAGCAGACCTACAGCAGAGAGGCTTGACAGTTAGAAGGAAAACTAACAAACAGAAAGGAACAGTATCAACATCAACAAAAAGGATGTCCACTCAGAGACCCCATCTGAAGGTCACCAACATCAAAGACCAAAGGTATATAAATCCACAAAGATGGGGAGAAACCAGCGCAAAAAGACTGAAAATTCCAAAAACCAGAATGCCTCTTCTTCTCCAAAGGATCACAATTCCTCACCAGCAAGGGAACAAAACTGGATGGAGAATGAGTTTGATGAATTGACAGAAGTGGGCTCCAGAAGATGGGTAATAACAAACTCTTCTGAGCTAAACGAACATGTTCTAACCCAATGCAAGGAAGCTAAGAACCTTGAAAAAAAGGTTAGAGTAATTGCTAATTTGAATAACCAATTTAGAGAAGAACACAAATGACCTGGTGGAGCTGAAAAACACAACATAAGAACTTAGTGAAGCCTACACAAGTATCAAGAGCCGAATCAATCAAGCAGAAGAAAGAATATCAGAGATTGAAGATCAACACAATGAAATGAAGCGAGAAGACAAGATTAGAGAAAAAAGAGTGAAAGAAACTAACAAAACCTTTAAGTAATATGGGACCATGTGAAAAGACCAAATCTATATTTGATTGGTGTACCTGAAAGTGACGGCAAGACTGGAACCAAGTTGGAAAACACTCTTTAGGATATTATCCAGGAGAACGTCCCCAACCTAGAAAGACAGGCCAATATTCAAATTCAGGAAATACAGAGAACACCACAAAGATACTCCTTGAGAAGAGCAACCCCCAAGACACATAATCATTAGATTCACCAAGGTTGACATGAAGGAAAATATGATAAGCGCTGCCAGAGAGGAATGTCAGGTTACCCACAAAGGGAAGCCCATCAGACTAACAGCAGATCTCTCTGCAGAAACCCTACAAGTCAGAAGAAAGTGGGGGCCAATATTTAACATTTGTTAAATAATTTTCACCCTAGAATTTCATATCCAGCCAAACTCAGTTTCATAAATGAAGGAGAAATAGAATCCTTCACAGGCAAACAAATGCTGAGAAATTTTGTCACCACCAGGCCTGCCATACAAGAGCTCCTGAAGGAAGCACTAAACATGGAAAGGAACAACTGGCACCAGCCACTGCAAAAGCAAACCAGAT